GTGTGTGTGTGTGTGTGTGTGTGTGTGTGTGTGTGTGTGTGTGTGAGGGAATCAGGGATGGAAGAAGTGCACTTAGCGCTCCGAAAGAGGAGAAGCACGTCACCGGGGTTCATGGTAGAAGGGGAAAGGTTTTCCTTCTCTCTCTCATCTATTGCGTTCTTTTTTTAATCTATTGTCCTCTTTCTCCCATTGTATAATGCAGTTCTCTCTCTTTCACTCGTTACAGTCCCACTTATTATTTGCGCTCTCTCTTCCTCCCATTGCGCTCTTTCGTTGTCTTTTCTTCTTGCACGTGATTTAATTAAGTATTATAGATATAGTATTTATGATTTTTAATGACACGACTTTTTAGAAACTAATTATGATAATATTTTTATAAATTTTTAATAATATAACATAATTATGATAATATTTTTTTTATCAATGTAATACAAATGGCCAAGCGCGCTTTCTTATCGACTAATTCAATAATTATTGAATCGTACTACTGAGCACCTGTTATTAACTAATATTCTTAACTATAAAGAAAGGGAAAAGAAATTAAAATATATATAAAAAATTTCACTGTGTTAGCATAACAACCGCTAGTCTCGGGGAAGGAAAACTAGTTGCAGTAGTGATCCCCGGGGTGGGTGGGTCCCAATCACCACGACACAGCGCGTCCTCGGGTTGCGGATAGAGGAAAAACCTCGCTATCTCGGTTGAGGATAGAGGTTAGCTGCGAATAAATTGAATAAGCAGTCGCGGACAGCCGATTGGAATGGTCCTCCTGTTTGGGAGTTGGGCGTGGGTTTGATAGGCTCACATCGTGAAACGACTTTATCTAGAAACAACCAAAACTCGTCATGGATTCTTCTGGGGTAAAATTTTCCGGAGGTAAACTAGTCCCCCGTTCGGACCTCCGGGTGGGGACTACCTCGGGGAACTCATGTCGTATAAAGTCAAAAAACGGGAGAGATATCAAAGTGGGTACGTGGAACGTCCGAAGTCTTTACAGACCTGGGGCGTTTCAATCGATGGTCGGGGAGGTCGAAAAGTACGGGGTAGAAGTTGTCGCGTTGCAAGAAACAAGATGGGCCGGGGAGGGTTCGCTTAATGCGGGTTCGTACACGCTTCACTATGGAGGGTCGGAGATCCATAGTCTTGGCATCGGTTTTATGATTAATAGGAAAATCTTATCCGCGGTAAAAGACATTAAATTTATAAACGAAAGATTAGGATTGCTCGTTGTGCAGGGCCGATGGTACAAGATCGCGATAATCAACGTACACGCGCCGACGGAAGATAAAGATGGCGAAATTAAAGACGGGTTCTACGAAGAACTCGAACACCTCGTGGATCAATTACCGAACGATTACATGAAAATAGTCGTGGGAGATTTTAACGCGAAAATCGGTAAAGAGGACATTTTTAGACCAACGATCGGGCTCGAAAGTTTGCACGAGGAAAGTAACGATAACGGAGTGAGGGTAATTAACTTTGCGACCGGCAAAAATCTTATCGTCAAAAGCACGTATTTTAAACACAAAAATATCCATAAACAAACTTGGATTTCCCCGGATGGAGGCACGCGTAACCAAATTGATCACGTTCTTGCAGATAAACGGCGTCACACGAACGTACTCGATGTCAGGTCTTATAGGGGGGCGGATTGCGACTCGGATCACCTCTTTGTAATTGCCAAAATCAGGGAACGTCTTTCGCTAAACAAAACTAACGGGCAGTTGTTTGGAACTAAACGTCTAAATGTACAAGGTTTGATCGAGGGAGAAAACGGAATAAAATACGCGGTCGAAGTAACGAATAGACTCGCGGCTTCAAAGGAAATAGATGAATCGGATGATAACACGGTTGATAAACACTGGGAAAACGTACGAGACGCGATAGTAAAATCGGCGGAGGCCACGGTTGGTTTTTGTAAAAGGAACAAAAACAAGCCGTGGTTTGACGAAGAATGCGTAAAAATTGTTAAAGTACGAAACGAAGCGCGCATCACGTGGTTGGCTCAAAATACGAAGGAAACTCGGGATCAGTTTCTTAAGATTAGGCAAGAGGCTCATAATATGTTTAAAATTAAGAAGCGTCAATACTTAAAACGTAAAATTGAAGAAATAGATGAAAATTGTAAAAGCAGTAACGTACGAGGCACGTACATGGGGATAAATAATTTTAGAAAGGGATTCCAAGCTAGGACGGAAATGGTGAAAGATGAGAACGATAATTTAGTTACGGATACAACGGCAGTTTTAAACACATGGAAAAATTATTTTGATCGGTTATTGAATGTCGAATCTGAAAACGACCGGGAAATAGAGAATTTTGAGTATCACACGGCTGAACCTAGGATTAACGAACCGACAATTTCAGAAGTAGAAAGCGCGATTAAAAAATTAAAAAATCACAAAGCACCGGGTAATGACTTGATTCCGGCGGAACTGATTAAATGGGGGGGAAGTAGATTGATAGAAGAAATTCAGAAATTAATTATCTTAATATGGAATAAAGAAGCATTGCCGGAACAATGGAAAGATTCAATTATAATCCCGATTTTCAAAAAGGGGGACAAAATGAGTTGTAATAATTACCGGGGTATCTCACTTTTACCTACATGCTATAAAATTCTGTCGAATATTTTATTAATGAGGCTTGTACCATATGCAGATGAGATAATTGGAGATCATCAATGCGGCTTTAGGAGAAATAGATCGACTGCGGACCAAATCTTTACTATTCGGCAAATCTTGGAGAAAAAATGGGAATTCGACCAATCGGTACATCAACTTTACATTGATTTTAAAAAAGCGTATGATTCGATAAAACGGGAGAAAATGTATGAAATTTTAACTCGGTGGGGGATACCCAAAAAATTGGCTAACTTAGTCCAAGTTTGTTTAAAAGATACCAGAGGTAGAGTAAGAATAGGTAATCAAATGTCGGAAACTTTTAATATTCATAGCGGATTAAAGCAGGGGGATGCATTGTCACCTCTTCTGTTTAATCTAGTATTGGAATATGCTATTAAAGAAATGCAGAAGAGTAATGATGGTTTGCAGTTGAACGGTACAACACAAATATTAACATATGCGGACGATATTGCTTTGTTGGGAGATAATAAAGAAACACTAATAAATAACGCTAAAATTCTATTAGATAAAACGAAAGAACTGGGGCTGCAAATAAACGTTGAAAAAACTAAATATATGGTCACTGATAGAATTCAGAATATTCATAATAACGGAAACCTGGTCGTCTGTGATAAAATTTTTGAACGGGTTAGCAATTTTAAGTATTTAGGATCGATTTTAAACCAAACTAATGAAATAAGAGAAGAGCTCAAGAGAAGAATTAATTTGGGGAATGCGTGCTTCTATTCGGTTAAGAAACTACTCGGTTCGCGGATATTGTCTAGGCGCTTAAAAATTAGAATTTACAGAACGATTATTTTACCGGTAGTCCTTTATGGCAGCGAAGCGTGGTCACTTACATTACAAGACGAGAAAAGATTTAGGGCTTTCGAAAATAAAGTACTTCGAAAAATCATCGGGGCAAAACGCGATGAGGAAACGGGCGAATGGAGAAAATTACACAACGCAGAATTACATCAATTATATAATAGTCCGGATATTATAAATGTCATAAAATCGCATCGATTAAGATGGGCAGGTCACGCGGCGCGTATGGATGAGAATCGACATGCATATAAAATACTAATTGGTAAACCGGATGGGAAAAGACCATTGGGTAGACCAAGACGTAGATGGGAAGATAATATTAGAATGGACCTTAACAAAATGGGGTACGAGGGTTACAAATGGAGGGATCTTGCTCAGGGACGGGAACAGTGGCGGGATATGCGGCAATGAGCTTTCGAGTTCCTAACGCCTAGTAATAATAATAATAATAATAATAATAATAAATTTCATGCTTTATTTTAAATTTGATACATTTCTTTTTGGCGTTGCAACCACCAGTTGTATATTTTAAATACATTTTGTAACGCACAATTCTTAACATGTTTTACACATCGCATAGTATTAGTAACATCTAAATTATTATGTAAAGAATCTATATGTTCGAAATCAGCATCCAAGGTCTCAATATTCAAGCCGCTATCGAATATATCAGCCATTAGCGTTTCTCACGCCCTTTAACGTATACAAGAGCCTTATTATTGTTACTCTCTTTTCCACACCAATTACAGCCATTACAATCAGCGTTTTGCCATGCTGTACGGGATTATCTCATCTTCCCATTGCAATCCATGGTGATAAGCACTTAGTCAAGAAGCACAATACTTTTCTGACTTTATCAAGAAATTCCATGGCATGGGACACATAAAAATATAATGAGTGAAAATGGCTCCTTTTCTAAACATCGCCACTTCCTTCACGACAAATTTCTTTCCAACGATAAATCCTTGCAGATCTACAAACGTTGGCATAGTCATGGTGAATGACTTTTTAAGACTGCTCGATCGCAAAGAATCTTGGTTTTTATCTCTTGTATTGAAAAGAGAAGGTATTTTTTCTTTCAGCAATGATAATTTACGTAATTTTGCGTACTACATTGGACATTGGGCTATATTCAATCACGCGGTCATGAAACAATAGGTTGTAGTATTTGTGGATACATTTTCTTTGAATTCAAATTCTAATCGCACATCCACAGTATCGCTCTTGATGGATTTATTTTGTCTCAAGCAATCAATAATAACATGAGTATAACCGTAATGAAAGTTTTTCATGTTCAATAATGTTTTACGATTTTCCTGGGGAATTTGGTAATAAGACGTACGGAAACGTGCATACATATCATATAATACGGTTTTGTATAGCGGTTTTGTCAAAATATAGATTCAGGTCATCGTACGGATAAAATTCAGAGTTTAGATAAAATTTCACGTTGGTTACAATGATCGAAGTAAGTTTTAGTTGCTTCCATGATGTTTTTTTTAGCAGTTTGCGGAGCAAATAGAACATATCTAGGTTTTTTCAGCTGAGTCGCAGTCTTGATAGCCCAATACTTTGTTGTGTTTTACAATAAGGGATACTCATACAAATCCCACGAACGAAAACTCATACTTAGATATCGTTCGTTTTCCAAGGTACGTAGTATGGATAGTTTATTAATAGTTTATTCGTTTAACATAACGTGAGGCATTCGCCATTGTATTTTGAATAATTCAAGCGTCGGTTCAGTTGCTGGATCTCCCACAATGCAATTGTTGTCGTTGCGCATTCGTATCAAAATTAATTTGTGACGAGCGTTAATTACCACATGTTTATAATCTTTACAAAAGCCCAAGAACATGCATGCTGAGCAGCATGCAAAAGTTAAAATACTCGTACACCGTCAGATGTCATTAAACTTTTCGCGTTATACTCAGACGGAATAAGTTCAGCATTATCATTGTATTGACACTTGAAAACGATGCATATCTCTTTAGAGTACTGGTTATTCCAACATTTCTATTATGATCAATCTCTGCATCATTGAGTTCATATCGAATTTCGTCAAACATGAACGCTACGCAATTACTTCCAATTGTTGACTGTATTTGTTCTTTTTCCTTTGACATCAATCTACCTTCGACGTACTTTCACACGGTAGCGTGTATAAATCCTGTTGTATAGGTATCCTTATCTTGTCGATATGTCCAAACGCGGGGTTGACGTACAGATTGTATGTATGAAACTCGAACTTAACGCTACGATCATCAAAGAATAGCTCCTCTCCAATATTTAAGATATCAACCATCTCAGATATTTCATACAATAAAGCCCAATGATTGTAAAAATTTAACGTTTGACACAATAAGCTTTCTTCTACTGAACGATCGAATATTTTTGATTGTTGTCACTCTAGTAAAAATTATATTTCTAGCCTGTTTTGCCTGCTCGTTTAGAGCAAACATCTAACCGTACATGCAATCTAACGGTGATTTCTTCTCCACGAAAAGAGTAATCGTCCGTCTTGATCCACAACGCGAACCGTCAGATCTGTAACGCTCCGTACAATGATCAGAAGGTAAATGATCTGTGTCGGTTTTTCTGATATCTTATATCCTGATAACTCGCTCGGTGAAAATTCATGTATCGTGTGCACGGACTTATTGTTACTGTATGCGCCCGTGATTACGTTGCATTCCATACGATTGATATTTACATTGATATATAGTATTTATATATAGTATTTATCGATACGTCTGATTCGTGCCACTGTTGCGACTTCAGCACGCGATTCGATGAAAATCCCAGCAATCCAATATTGTGAGATTTGGTGAAATTTACTCGATAAGTGCATTTGATCTCATTCTTCATTGTACTGTTATTGTCACGAATAGTCAATGATACTGTTTATCTTCTTTGCAAAACATTTTCTCTCTCGCAACATCATTAGAATAAAATTGTAGAATTTGTTGAAAGGTTAGGGATGTGGATACAGGCAATAATGACTTCTTTGTACGGATCGCTTTTATTAAAAAAATATACGTGATTGCTACACTTGCTTAATGCGAATCACACACAGCGGACAAAAGGAAAAAGGTGACGCTCAGTGGCGATACACGGTGGTGACGGATAAGAAGAAAAACACATGATAACATGCCCTCGTATGAATCGGTATATATGTGGATCGTGAAGGCGCGTGATATGAATGATGCAACTTAAATCTAGATGATATTATAAAAGAGAACATATAAGAAACCAAAATATGTAGAGCATTTATTAATTCTAACGATTAATTCCAACACTCCCACCGTTTATTTTGCGCATACAAAAAGAAATACGATCATAGTCTACAAATTTAAAGCTGTATTTCGATGACTCCCATTTCTAAGATATTTGAACTCGTGGTAGACCTTTTGTGAAAATGTCGGCTAATTGATTCTGGCTTGATATGAATTTAACGTCTATTTCGCGATCTATAAACTTTTCTCGGATGAAATGGTAAAGCACGGTCGATGTGCTTTATGCGACTATGGAATTCAGGATTTTTGACGAGTCTTATCGCGTTCTCGTTGTCTATCATAATTGCTGTTGCTTCTTCGCACTGATATCCGAGAATGTCTTCTGAGCCAGATTACCTATTTTGTCGCTAGACTTGCCTCGATATACTCGCGGCTTTGGTCGTATTCAGACTCACGGTCGCTTGTCTTTTTGAGTTCCATGTAACTGGACCATTCATTATCTTGAAAATGTAGCCGCTTGTCGAACGGCGTGTATCGATATCTGCTGCATAATCAGAGTCGCTATAATTTAGGAGCCCTCTAATTTGGGGATAGAACCGATTGCCTCTATATCCGTAATCTAAAGTTTCTTTTAGATATTTGAAAATTCGTTTCACTGCATTCCAGTGAAATATATAATATTATGATTATCCAAATAATGACTGACGATTCCGACTGCATAAGAGATATCTGGTCTGTAGTCGCCAGAAATAGACGAGCCGCTACAGCCTCACGGTATGGTGTATACCAGGTGTACAAGTATGAAATGCGGATTTAAAAAAAAAACACGTTAAATTCGGAAGAA